ATAAGAGGGGGGGGGTGGTTTGACCTTTAGTGGAAGCTCCTGCAGTTGCAAAATAAATGTTATGGTCACTAAAACGTCCATTTTAATTAAGGATAACAGCAAACAGAAAGGAAGAAAACAGAAATGGTGGTTAGTGGATAACGATGAACCCCGGTTGAAAAAGTCTAGACATGCTACAGAGTCTCAAGTTCTTTTTTGTTTCTCTTAGATGGAGATCCTGCCCCAAGTATGTCGCTGGTGACGTGCAACCCTGACCAGCTGCCTCCCGAGAACTCCTCTTTCCTGGAGAGAACTTTTGTTTGTCGTTTCCGATGCCTCCTAGACAATTCTTCAGGATTCCTGGTCAGTGTCAAACAGCTAAAGCGCTCAAAACCTACACAGGAACGTCGTACTTCGACTGATTTAGAATTCCTCTTGGAATTTAATATTAGTATGATGGAAAATATCTTGCTATTCAAAGTCTCTAAGCCCCGATGTTCCAGATTACAGAGTGAGTTAGCATCTAGGTTAGCGCAGCTGACTTTGTGTTGGATTGCGCCTCTGGCATCCACAGAGATCTGAATTGTTGGAACACCTCTGTAATCCGTCTTAAAGGAGCAGTAAGGTCATGGGGAACAGGTTTTAATTCGTCCTAGAAGAAATAGAGCAAAATAGTGAGAACCGGTTCTTGTTAGCATAAATTAAAGCTAATTAGAAGAAATGAGGCACAATAGTGACCACCAACTCCTTCAGCTGTCTTTATTCCAAAAGTATTTTTCCTATTCATTCTCCAGCCAGACAGCTGTCTCTTTCTTTGCTAATCTTGGCAACACAGTAGTGAAGAGATACGTATGCGCGCAAAGCTCTGTACTCTTGCCCTTTATTTCTTCAGTCTCTCTCTTTTACTTTCTTTCCCCTCCGCTCCATCTTTACCAAATCCATCTCCCTCAAGAATAGCATGACTACACTTAGCTTGTCAGTAGCGGACCGCCAACAGGGGTCTCCCCATGTGCTCAGCGAAATTCATTAGCATGAGTTAAAAATATGAGCAACTTCAAACTCTTTTCCATTGCGTATTTTTTGTTTGTTGTCCTCTTGGCATTTTGAATGCAACCATTAAGTTATCTTGGGAGGTTCACAATGAAAACATAATTATGGCCAATTAGCTTCCTCTGTGATTATTTAATTGACACGCCCCCCAACTCGGAAAGTCATGCTGAAAGCTTTGTTTTTTTTTATTTGCGCCAAATGAAATACAGTTTGACAAATGTTTTCTGTTCGTGTATGTGAATGCGTGTCTCTGTATTAATGTTTCGTGAAGTCATTGCCGAACTGAGACACTTGTTTTGTAGCCTTACATAAGCAGAACTATTTTAAATCAGGCATTACACAAAATGTGTATTGTAGTTTTATGTTTGTGCATATTCATAAGTGACACTAAATTAATCATGGCTAACATACATAAAACACTCACTTTTAGATGTTGTAATCTCCACCAGTTAGAACAGATGGTCTAAGTTTGACTGACTAATCACAAACAAGCAAACATTCAGATATGACACATTCTGGACAGGTCATAGCCTTCATTTATAGATGACCTGGATTGAGCTCTATTGCCCACAATGAGTCAGAGACAACTTATGTGGTTCGCCAAGGGCACGCCAACAAAATCATCAGCTCCAGCTGTGTATGTACATATATTACGTGTGTCGGTTATACGTCCTTCATGCAAATGGATTATGACATGATTTTTTGTTTGTTCTATATGTCATAATTTTATTATTCTTGTTTATTTGCTTTTTTTTGTTGTAGTTGCAACAATTTGAAACATTCTATTATTAGATTTTGTGTAGCTTGAAGTTGATATTTTTAAATTCCAAATTTAAACTAAATTCCACAGTTATGCTTTTTTTGTATAGGAGCTATTCCAATGTTTATTTTTATTTATGCCCCATCAAGGCCCTGAATCTTCAAGGACGTCTGAAATTCCTGCATGGGCAGAACAGGCGACTGGATGACGGAGGCCAAATGCCGCCCCAGCTCGCCCTGTTTGCCATAGCGACACCCCTACAGCCTCCTTCCATAATGGAGATCCGAACCAAGAACATGATTTTCAGAACCAAACACAAGTTGGACTTCACCCCTATGGCCTGTGATGCTAAGTAATGATGGACATTTCTTTTGAAAGAGTTGTAACATGCACTGTATACATATGTTTATATCTCCATAAGTACAATAGAAAATGGTGTAAGAATCACTGATGTTGATTTTGCCTGTTTTTTAGGGGTAAAATCATTCTTGGCTACACCGAGGCAGAGTTGCGAGTTCGAGGTTCTGGGTACCAGTTCATCCATGCAGCTGATATGCTGTATTGTGCTGAGAACCATGTCAGGAGTAAGATTTTTCATATTTCTTCAGATTTGTCATTTTGGAGTTGTACTGTTTAAAAAAGTCCAGCTAAAGAAGTTGTTTTTAAGATGCTACATAACTAATAATATGATTGACTGAATTACGAGAAGATTAAGAAATAGCTATGATGAGCTGTCTTTCTGCTGATGCATGCTGACATTGTTGCCAAAGGCATGGTTTCTAAAATAAACTAGTGACACTAAAAGACATGAGCATTATGCTCTTAGGCAAATGCTTGAACAATGACAGTACTCTTATTCAGTGTGGTTCACAGGAGATAATCCATAGATGTTATGACAGGAAGTGAAATTGACTGATAATATCAATTGTGTGGGCAGGACTTGAATGGATTTGGTGAATTCAGATTTTTTTTATGGTGGTCTACGGCAAGAAGTGGAGAAAGAGAGACAGACAGATTTTACAGACAGACAGACAGCAAGAGACAGGAGAAGGAATATTTTCCTATAATCCCATAGATTATGGAGGAGATTGGATAAATCTTTGAGGTTAGGAGTAGAACTAGAGCCAGTAAATCCAATAAAATTAGTAATTCAATATGGAGCCAACAGCCTATAGCAGAAAAAAGGTACAAGGCATTAAAAATCTGGTCTGTATATTTCAACTAATAACTGGGTTTACAAACTGTTGCACTGTCTATTGCAGTGATCAAGACTGGAGAAAGCGGCCTGACTGTGTTTAGACTGCTTACAAAGGACAACCGCTGGAAATGGGTACAAGCTAACGCTAGACTCGTCTACAAAAATGGCAAGCCTGACTACATCATTGCCACCCAGAGGCCGCTTGTGTAAGCATATTAAGGCTAATATTCATTTATATTTCTGCACTAACAATTTACAAAAATATAGATTTAGTTTATTAGCATGCTAACTGTTAAATTGCATGGCAAATTAGCAAGATTTTGATGAAAGTCCTTACATATCCACTGACAAGGTTTTTATCCATTTATTCAGAGAAGAAGAGGGCGGAGAGCATTTGAGGAAGCGATCTATGCATCTTCCATTCACCTTTGCTACTGGAGAAGCTCTGCTGTACCAAATCAGCTACCCCATGCCAGGCTTCCCTGACACCCTTCAGGGCAAAAGCAAGAACAACAAAACCAAAAAGAGCAAGATAGACAAAAGTTCGAAGGATGATCTGGACCCAAGTTCTCTGCTGGGAGCCATGATGAGACAAGACGAGTCTGTTTATGTTTGCCAACCTGCTATGGAGCCTAGAATGTCATTCCACAGTAGCCTCTTCAGTGAGCAAGTAGAGACTAATACCTTCTCTTCTTCTGTGGAAAATGAAAGTTGGAATCCAGCGCAGAATGGTGTTACTGCAGTTTCCAAACAGGAGCCATCAAGTTTTGACCCACTACTGGCAACATTAGACTCTCTGTCCCTGGAAAATGAGGAAAGCTGCTCCAACAGTGAGCTATTCATTGCCCTGGAAAACCTTGGACTCAATGCAGAGGACCTAGAATTGCTGCTTCTGGATGAGAGGATGATCCAGGTAGAGATGGAAGCGAATTACGTCCCATCTCTGAACGATCTTCTCACCAACAACGAAATCCTTTCCTACGTCCAAGACTCACTGGAGAATCGGATCAAGGACTCGACGGATGCTCAAAACCCTGCCGTGGCATTAGATTCTGTTGAACCCCCTGAGCCATGTTCTGCTTCTGAGTCAGCTTCTCAGATTACTTCATCCATGCCTGATCCTCATGTACCTTTCTGGCCACAAAAACAGATAACACCCATAGTTCATCTCTCACAGCGTATGCAGCAACATCTCAATGGCCAGTCAGTTTGCCACAAAACTGAGAGCTGGATCCAGGCACCAATACCTCAGGTGTCTACAACAGACTCTGAGACAACTACATTTACCCAGCATGATACTTTGTTGGTAAACCCGGTACCAGCTGTACACAATGGCCACTGGGTCTCTGAACACACACAAGCGAACTTGAACTCTCAACTTGGTGACAAGATAACAGGAACTAGTAAAGCACCATCACAGCAATGGCAGCACAACCAGTTGCTTGACCCATTCCAGTATAAACAAAAAACAGCTGTGGGTAGTGATACCCCTCCAAACGGGGTCTACAATGATCCCCAGTGGCATGGATACAACTTCACAGACCAGTTGGTCACAAATGGACCATGTTTTCCCAATGGCCAGTTGGCGCACACACAAACAGTGGGTACACATGTTGATTACAATATAACCGACAATTCAGGGGTGGAGTTTACGATGAACATCAGTACAGCTGGGGATGTAGGTCAGTTTCAGGGAGCCATGGCCTCATCTTCGTCCTATCAGCAGGGTTATCAGAAACAGCAGCAGCAGCCAAAGGTCGCACCCACTTATTACACCTCCTATACCAAACAGAACTCCTCTCTGGAGCATATCCTGGGATTAGCCCCACCTTCAAACCTTCCCTCATTGACAGATTATAGCTCGGAACTGACCCATGACGCCACCCACAGTAAGGTAAGAATTAAAGAAGGATATAGTTGCGCAATGTGATTTAACCAAGTTGGACAAGCTCCTGGATCAACAAAATATATAACAGCCAAACCTTATCCAAAACACCAAGTACACGCTCAAATCCTGATCTCAAATGGGAAATTATTGTTGATAAAAATGTCAAACCCTTAATCCTAAAAACTGATTGGTTGATAGGAATGTTGCCCTAGAACTATCAAGGATGGATAAGGGGAAACCAGAAGTATTGCAGGGACCCAGGAGTTTCCAATCCAACTCTTGAAGGGCCACATTCCAGCAAAGTTTAGCTTTAGCCCTTAAGCTTTAAACTAGGGCTAGTAAGCGATTAACATTTTTAATCTAATTAATTACATGATGTGGCGATTAATTAATCGCACATCAAATTTGGCTGAGAAATTACTCCAAAAAGATAATTTTAAGTCATTGTTGTATAAAGCATCAAACAGACATTACAAAAAGTAGCTTCAGCAAAAAAATATTTTGTTTGATAAAATTTATTACATATACTCTTTTGGACCATGAGGGTGAGTAAATTATGACACAGTTGTCATTTTTGGGTGGGTGAACTATACCTTTAATAATTTATTTGATTAATTTTATTATTATTACTATGGAAATACGGAATTATTTATTTAATAAAATGATAATCTAAATAATAAACTAAAACTGCCAGTAGGTGGTGGTAAATGTCTTAATTATTAAGTCATCGAGTCATTTATTCGTTCATTTGATTCGTTAAAATGGCTGATTCATTCAGGAGTGAAGTAAATGGTTCTTTATGAATGGTCAATTTAATCATTAGGCTTGTTCGACTTGAAGCGGATCATCACCATCAGATCGATCGGTGTGTGACATCAAAGTACCGCGAGAGCAGACGGCTCCTTATGCTTTTGAATCGCTCTCGCGGTACTTTGATGTCATACACCGATCGATCTGTGCAGCGCCGCTTCAAATCCAGTGCGCCTAATGATTCACCCAATTCGTTCAAACGTGCATTAAGAAATGAAATGCCACTGTGTGTTGCTCAGAGACGAGCCGTTCTGCTTTGTCTTTATATTTTCATTGGCAAAATTGAGCAAAACAAACAACATTGTGTCTAAAATAACACAATATTAACTTCTTATTTATTGTACTGTTGTATAAGATCGGTATCACATTTGCACTTGTGCGATATTGCACTTATTGCTCGTGTGATATTGCTTAACTATATGTAAATATGAGACAAAAACTCAAACGGGCATTTTTGCTTTTCATCCTCTTGAAAAATTACATGCATGCACAGTATCATCAGCCCATCAGTTCTCAAATCGAGAAGTTCTTCATAGCAGTTCAGTCAGTGTACTGTTTGAGTAAATGAATTACTTCGGGATATTGGTTTATTTCGACTCAGAGGGAGTGTCAGCCACGTTAAAAAAGTGAATAACTTCAGTAATTTGTGGATTAATGCTTACTAGAGACGCGAACCGTTTCAAATGATTCAGTCCGATTTGGTGAACTGGTTCAACCGGTTCACTAAGAAAAACCGGTTAAATCGAACGATTCGTTCGTGAACCGGACATCACTATTAGGGACATTGTAACTACGTTCTCTAGGCTCCATCACGCAGCGAGTTGTTGCCCTGCCTCATATTTGTCATCAATCAGCTGTATGAAATGTCAGATGACCCACATAGGTCTGGGGCGGGGCAAGTGCGTTAAATGTGTTAATAATTATAACACGTTATTTTTCACTGTAATTAATTAATGTAATTAACACGTTAAATTACCAGCCCTACTTTAAACACATTGAACCAACTAATGGAGGTCTTCAGGATCACTAGAAACTTCCATGCGGATGTGTTTGAGCTAAACTCTGCAGGATTAGACATCCCTGCAGAACCTCATTTTACTTACATTGTCAAGCTGGTATTGATTGCTGGCTTAGAAATATTGTCCACTAGAAATTGTATCAAAAGGGGCTTTTGCACAGGAGGAAACTTTTCATAGGAGGTACCTGCTTTTTGATGTGTACACAACGCAGGAACTAGGAACGTATTGAGTTCTAAGAACATTGTTTGGGGGAACTACATTAGCTCCTACTCCAGAGTAGGGTCTAAAACAGTTCTATAGGAACTACCAGTCACGTAAGTGTACACTGACTGGCCAAACACATACGAAACACTGGCTACCCAGCATTTTTAAAAATCAATGTAAAAATATTTACTCCACGAACACAGCGATAGCAGCATTTAGCTACCTGTTGTCTGCAGCGTTGTGTTCTTTTCTCAGCCTCGATGATTTGTAACACTGCAAGTTGTCATAAAAGATTTAGTCAGATTTTCATGCTCTTTCAATCGCGTAAATTGTGTTTACATTCCATCTCAGTTATCACTAAACCCACGACAACAACAAAAACAGCTTCATCATGGCATCCTCCTTTCACCAGTTGTTAACGTTTGTAAATGCCGTGAATAAAAAGACGTTGCTGTCGGCCACTTCAGAGTTCATGCTGTTCCTGGTGAATGCAACCAGGAAAATGGCAACGAGGAAGATTGGTTCTCTAGGAACCACCATGCTGGCTAGTTCCTAGAACTACGCAGTGCGAAAGCCACTAAATAGTCTTTAAAGGGACAGTTCACCCAAAAATGGAAATGTATTTGTATTTGTATCTGTCATTAATTACTCACCCTCATGTCGTTCCAAACCTGTAAGACCTTCGTTCATGTTCTGAACACAAATTAAGATATTTTTTATGAAATCCGAGAGCTTTCTGACCCTGCATAGACAGCAACGCAACTGACACGTTCAAGGCCCAGAAAGGTAGTAAGGACATTGTTAAAATAGTCCATGTGATCAGGGGTTTAAACTATCATGTTATGAAGCTACTGGGATACTTAAAATAATACAAAAATAATGACTTTATTCAAGAATTTGTTCTCTTCCGTGTCAGGCTCCGCCGTGTGTTTAGGAGAGTACCACGAAACATGCGTGTGCAGTAATGGCAGAATTTTCATGTTTGGGGTGAACATTTCATATAATGATAAGGACCCTTTTGACCACCCTTCATTGTCTAATATTGTAGTTTAAAAGATATTCTGGACTCCAAACCATGATACGCCCCACTCCACCCCCTCCATATTTATTTTTTCCATTGGCCTAAATGCTCACTCTGATCTAATTGTGCTCTGTATAAGGGGCCAAGACCTAATAGGTCACGTCTAATGTGCTGAGATTGCATAATGCACAGTGACAGATCTACAGTACAAAGTCTTGGCAGTCTCTAGAGATTCGCTGTGTGGCCCCACACAGGTGGATGTTTGTTTTGCCTGCTGTGTTGCATTATTATAGTGACTGTGATTAAGATCGTAATCTTCAGCTTAAGAGTGTAAGCTTCCAGGTCAACCCACCAGCATCAGACAGGCTTTTCCGCTATACTGATGGCAGCCAATTGTAGCATCTAGTCCATTGTGAAATGGGAGCCTGAGGCTATGAACGAGAGATAGAGGAAGAGTAGCCTCCACAAAAGGACCGCTCATGCAGCAGGCAATATTCAGAGACCATGGGCCCCTGTCTGCACTAATTTATCCAGACGATCTTGCCTTTCCACATGTAGGGCACCATGCTGTGGTTCCACATGTAGGGATTGTGTTTTCTGTAGATGGTTAGCAGTGCTTGCTAAGACAAATTTGGTGCATAACTTATGCCTTGTTGTCTATGCTACGGGCATCAATGATATCTCAAATAGTGTGGCTTGTTGAGTACAATTACAGTTCACCTGGCAGACAACTGAAACATAATAGACTGAAGATCTAGACCCCAAATATACTACATCATAGATACTTTGGGTGGACTGTTTTGACTTTTGCTTGGCATTGTGGTGGTGACTTTTGCAAAAAGTGCTGCAGCAACTTTTGAAAGAAAAAGAGAGATGAGGGTGGTACAGTTAGAAATAGTACTAAAATTGGAATGGTAATCATCAATGGAAGGGCAAGGTGAGGAAAAAAAGAGAGACAGTTCAGTCCAGCACTACATTCTAGGCTTCGAGTTTTCTGAGTTGTGTGTGTTCAGGGTCACTGCTCTCAGCTGAAAGGAGAATAGAGCTTAAATGCCCAGTTAGGCGTGAGCAGCCATGACCTACAATCCAGCATCAACATTACCTCATGCATACTAACACTACACTTTCATATACTATAACTATAGGAGCTTTGTGATATAGCCAAGGATTTACTTATCATCTGCAAATGTGAACAGTTAATGAATTATGAGTTGCACTGACATTATGCCAAGTGATGTCATTTTTTAAAGCTTTTACCCAGCTAATCTTTAACATTTGTTTTGGTTAGCATTTTGTATGTGGCAGTTTGGACTTTATTTTGATGAGTTTACCTCCAAAAACGGCATGGAATTTCTTCAGTTTCTGCAGTTTTTGTTTCTGATTATGATCTTGGTTAGTGTATCTTGTGAAGACCTTAAATGACCCCAACAAACACAACATCTGCTGTCCAGCTGCCGGTAACCTGCTTAAATAAGCAACCGCTGTGCTAGTTCTATAAGCTAGCACCATACGTGAGCTCTGTAAATTTGGGTCAATAGCAGAGAAGTTGGTCTAATGCTAATGAAAGGTCATGGTTGCTCGCTGTGGATTTTGTCATTTTTATTCTGTATTTATTTTATATGACTTTCAAAAGCTGTTTTAAGCTAGGCTAACAGAAGTCTTATAACTGCATCCCAAATAACACTATGCACTTATACACTATGTACTTATGCACTATGTACTCAACTATGTAGTGTATGAATTATATAAGGTTATTTTGTCATTCATAATTGGAGTCTGACAGCCCCTCCCCCTTCGCAATGTAATTAAAGCTCCGACAGTTAAGTGCAACGTGACGTGTCCAACATTCCACACTTCGTTTTTTCAGTTATTTAAGTGCATCATCTGGGTATTTAAAGTGCACTTTTTTCTTTCGAAATTTTCAGTGAACACACTACTCGCAGTATTTATACTAAAAACGTCATAGAATAGTGCATTAGTGCGTGATTTGGGATGCACCTCAAGTTCTTAAAGGGGTCATATGATGTGATTTCAATTTTTCCTTTCTCTTTGGAGTGTTACAAGCTCTTGGTGCACAAAGAAGATCTGTAAAGTTGCAAAGACTAAAGTCTCAAATCCAAAGAGATATTCTTTATAAAAGTTAAGAGTCAACCATGCCTACCTAAAGCTCACTCAAGGCCGCCGTTTGTGACGCGTGTTGTATGTGTTTCATTGTGAAAGCGAAACTACTTTGTTTGGCCTTCCAAAAGAGGACACAACTAGAAATCAGTGGTTAAGTTGTATTTACAACACTGTTCCAGAACAGTTCATTACACCAAATACACAAAATAATGTTCTTTTTAGCAACATCCCCTTTAATTGACATTGACAAAATTATCAATGCTAATCATCCTGTATGTTATAATTATTATTATTATTATCTATATTTTATATATTTATATAAAACGTAGGCCTATTTATATTTGTAACTGTGAAATTGATACATACATTTTTAACTAGATAATTTCACTTTTAGCTAGCTTTTAGCCATTTAGCTAAATACTTCTAACATTTGTTTGTTTGCTTGTTTCCAGATGGAGACGGGCTTTATACTCAACTCCGCTAGTGTGGCCTACACAGGAAGTTGTTTGGTTCCCAAGGGCAATGCAGTGGCCACAGCTGGCAACAGTCCCCACCCCCTTCCTGAGCCACTCCCACCTCCCCCAGACCCTCCGACCACTGGTTTCTACCTCTGAACACACTCAATACAGATCCGTCTGAAAAGATGCCATCAATCATGAGAAGACTGTCAAATAAATAATAAAAAAGCAATTTTGATTTTTTGATTTGCTTATCCACTTGAATAAATCAATTTTAATTTAAATTAAAATGAGCCAGACTGACCTCTGAAATATCAAACCAATTGCTGAATACTCCACCCAAGATAATGTGATAGTACTCTCATTTATATTATTAATTCAGTTATGAATTAATTATGTATCAATTACAGTATATTTGGATTATTTCTCTGTGTCATTAATGCTTTTTGAGACGTAGGGAAATTTTTCCAGTTGGCAGATGCAGTTTGTATGTCGTCTGTAACAGGTGCGTGTCGGGATACGTTTGTGTGTAATATGTGTGTGAGATGTCAATCTCCATTAATTGGGCTTTATTCAAAATTGTTAGTAAAACTGTTTGCGTGACTTGTGATGCAACGTCTGTAAATCACGTAGGAGCATATGCAACGTATAGCTCTTACAAAACTGATTGTCCTGAAACGCAGTAAATGACTGATGTTTATATGAACAGAAGACTGGGATGCATATTTATTTATGGGAAAAAAAGCAAGGGTGTTACCTTCCGTTTACTGAAAGAATACTTATGTGCGATGTCAATAATAAAGCAGTTTAGCAGTAGATGTCACTTGTAGATCTGAACCCTTCTCGCTATTACATTTTGTGTGATTAGATTTTGGAAAGATGATTCTAGATCAAATTCAGCTTACCTTTTAGATACAGGTGTTCATGTGTATAGTGAATCCAGAAGCAACCCAGTCTTGTGACAAACGCGTAATAATTTGTAAGAGTTAACCAGGTAAATCAGATAAATGGATAAAATACGTACATGCAAGTGGACTTGTACATGTTGTATTGCCTTTAAATTGATTGGTTGATTTGTCTCAATAACAGTAAAAATCGTGCATTTTATACAAATATAACGGTCAATTGGAGTAAAAATTTTACATTTTGTACATGCCAACATGTACAATATTTTTACCACGGTTAACTCGTACAATTTGTTTTGATTTGTCTTAATTGAAGTAAAAATCATACATTTTGTAGGAGCGAACTAGTACAATCTACTATGATTTTTAATACAGTTAACTCAAATTATGTGTTTGACATGAGACCATGTTGTCCAGAACTTATGCTTTTCAAAAACCAGGTTTGTTTTGTCTATGAAAAGAGATTCTGGAAGCTGAAATTGTTGAATGTGTTGAGTATATTGTAAAGCAGTTAAAAAAGAAAAAGAATATTTGGTGCTGCAAGGTGTTTAATGAATAATAATGTTAAATGTTATAGTATTATGAAGTCACAGAGAAAATGAATTTCCAGGCCAGCCTCTTTGTTTTTACTTTTCTTTTTTTCAGTACATATATATATATATATATATATATATATATATATATACTGTATTTGCAGACATTTCCTATAAGAGGTACCACTGGCTCAACTATGGATTCAAATTTCTTTAACACGTATATGAGAAAACAATATGACAATCATTTACAAAATGTTTAAAGAGTTTGTAAATAGTCAAAAAAAAAAGTTATTTCATATTGTTGTAAGCACTATTTTAAAGAGCACTACAACCTAACCAGGTTTTACTTTTTTTCCGGCACAAGATGTAGGCTTCTAGAGAGATGTATTTTGGAGTAAATATTGTATAATTTTTTTCAGGTTGTGTGTTCTGTTTGTATATTTTAAGAAGAAGTTTTACACTTTAAATAAAAAGAACATGGTGCCATACTGGTAAATTTACTTTCCAGAATTTAAATGTTTTACTATTTGCTTAGAAATTGTCATCCATGTCAATGGTTTGCCATGTTTTTGTTTTTTAATCAATCATATTCGATTTTTTTTTTTAAATCACGTTTGGATTTATTTTAATATTCTAACACACTGAAGTAGCAGAGATAATAGGTACATATGCAGTTTTGTCTTTTTGTCATTTGACTGCTTGTTGAAATGTACGATTTGGTCCTTTAATTAAAGAATTTGTGCAATCACAACGGGCCTCCTGCTTTGAAGTTCTTCTAAATCTTGTCAACTCTCATTTGAAAACATTTCTAGGTTCCAAATTTTGTGCGTATTTGACAATATTTACAATTTTATCTTCCCATGATCCAAATATCCATTTGTTTTCTACTAAAACCAATGAGTTCTATACCTAGACGAAGTTCTACCAGCTTGGGCAAACTAGTCCAAGTTTCCTACTGCAACAGGAAGTTGGGGCGGGGCATATCGAAAGGCCTGTCCTACAGTGCAAACAACCCAACACATAATTTTGAGAAATCGTAGGCTTTCAAAAGGTAACTTTCTAATGTCTCTCTTGCTTTTATGCTTATTAGAGTATTGAACTGTTAGCTTAGCAACATGCTATTGTTAAAACCTGAAGTCAACAGTGAGGCAAGCCTAATTCACTTCATGAGCATTATTTGTGACTTGTGTTGTCTATGTAGAACTCCAAATCACTTACTTAATAGTTCACTTGACTATAGCTCAACTATGTTCTAGTTTAGTTCTACATTTTAGTCAGTATTTCAACAGTTTAGCAGTATTAGCTAGGTATTTTCCCCCCTTTTTGCATTTTTTTAGGTAAAATTATGCTATGGTTATCTATTAGAATTACCCATTGAAAATTAAATTCCTATTGAAGTTCAAACTTCACAGGTCAGTTACCTGGGGAGACTCGTTCTGGTGTAAATGCAGCTGTCTCGCGAATGGGGCTCGCCAGTTTTCAAACATTCCCTCTCAGCGCTTTTATCTTCACATCTGTATTGATCGCGCCGCTGACTGAGCGAACGGCTCCTTTTCACACCTAGCATGGTGTGAAGAACTGGCTGGCTGAAAGCAAACAAACATGTAGGGGTGGGCCAGATCGCCACAGGAGACTAAACAAACTACCACCTGAAGAAGTCAGTAAGTGCCAAAGGAAGCAGTTGGTATCACTCTAGTCAAGCTAGGACTATTCACCATAATGCTATAATGTGTAGCAACATGCTAAAAAAACTGTAGCAAGCATCGAGCAATTTTATGTTTGTATGTTCCTGTGTAGTGCATGGAGTGCCTTAGAGCATTTAAATAATACAAACCTCTCTATGTATCGTGTGATTTCTGCACACTTGTGACGTGATCAGTCACTCGAGAGGAATGCTAACTCCTCTCGGTCTCCCTTTAGCCTTAGCAACAGAAGCAGACAAAACAAAGATGTAGAAAGAGAAGCAGAGAGATCCCTGGAGATGGAACCAGACAGGGACAGGAAGAGACTGCGAGAAAGTGACCCAGGTTTAGAGAGGGATGGAAACAAGAATTGGAAAGGTGTAAAGAGTGGGAATGGAAGATAGATGAAAAGGAGAACAACAAACAAATATCAATTAGCAAGGGACTTAAAGGGATAGTTTACCGAAAAATCAAAATTCTATCATTAATTACTCATTCTCATGTCGTTCCACACCTGTAAGACCTTTGTTTGTCTTCGGAACACAACTTAAGATATTTTTGATGAAATCCGAGAGCTTTGTGACCCTGCATAGACAGCAATGCAACTACCACTTTCAAGGCCCAGAAAGGTAGTAAGGACGTTGTTAAAATAGTCCATGTGACATCACTGGTTCAACCTTAATTTTATGAAGCTACGAGAATAATTTTTGTGTGCAAAGCAAACAAAAATGACTTTATATTCAACAATTTCTTCTCTTCTGTGTCAGTCTTTGATGTGCATTCACTAGGGATGGGCGATATCTTATCGTTTGCGATATACCGGTAAAAATTCTCCCCATGATAAGAATTAGTCTTCCTGCGATAATAACGATAAAGTCTAGTTGTTGACATATTTCTGTGTGCGACAGTGCGGAGCGACATCACGGAAAGCGGACGTGAAATTAAGGAGGAGTAGCCTATATCTTTTACAATCTGTAACTGGTTTGGTTAGGGCTGTACAGTGCACAAAAAATATCTGAATAAATGTACTACAGTAGCACGTGTGCGATACAGTTTTGCATGTGTATGAGCCTGTTTACAAAACTGTTGTCCAACAAAGATATAATTTATTGACATGCTTTTTCTCCAAATTAACTTAATAACATAGTCGAGTGTTTGAAATACTTCTTTTTGTGACCAGACGTGGTTTCATATTACAGAATGATAGTATTATATACAGTGATAAAGGCCATGTCGATTAACATTGCATTATAAATGTACTTTCCTTATAAAAATACCCAAGATTGAAGAACACTGATAAACCATATATTTTGTGCAGTCGTATGTTTATTTTCCTCAAGTTTCATCAGTTAAAATGTCTCTACCGCCGTTGTGCGTTTTATTCAGCGATAACTGGATACCTTCCTGGAGCATCGTCAGTAGTATTTCTTCTGCTATGGATATGTGGAGATTCTGTGCAACTTTCTGTCTTTACATTACGTGTGAACTCATTAATGCTCACCCTATTTTGGGTAAAAATAGGAAAGATAATACTTTTCTTAAAAGAAACAGGATTCCCTGAATTATCACCATTGATATCGTTATCGTAATAAATACCAGAAATATCGTGATATATTTTTAAGCCCATATCGCTCATCCCTAGCATTCATGCATGTGGTGCTGCTGAATCGGTGTTCCGAAGATGAACGAAGGTCTTACTGGTTTGGAGCGATATGAGGGTGACTAATTAATAACAGAATTTTAATTTTTGGTTGAACTAACCTTTTAAAGTCAGACCAACTGTACCTTAACAAAAATATGTTCTAAGAACATTTTGCTAATGTTTCCATGAACTTATGAGAATGTTAGAATCTTCTCTTAACGTTTAGAACATTTTAGCGTTTCGCAAACATTATGTGAATCACACATAATTATCATCTGAACCTAGTAGGTAAACATTAAAAAAAAAAAACATTAGACGAACATACAACTAACATGTTTCAGAGAAACGTTCCATGTAATGTTTTGGGACCAGCTAATGTTACTACCAGCGAATGTTTGTTGATAACTTTGAGAAAACTTTGCCAGAACATTAGCCAGAGTTTCTCTGCTTTCAAAAGAAAACCTCACCCAAAAATGTCAATTCTGTTGTTTATTCATCCTCATGTCATTTCAAACTCTGCTAATCCAGCTAATGACTAAAAACGACTAGCTTTTTAAACCAACTACCACTTAGTCCAGCTGGATTTCATCAGGGATGAGGAGTTTTTTCATTTTTTTCAAGACAAATTACATTCAGACCTTTTCCAGAAAATAATTTTTCTAATAAATGTCAGACAAAAATGCCATTGTCATAAAAAATTATACTATTTTCAGATGCTACAAACAGTTTTCAGATGCACGCAGTTATGTGATCGTAAAAGATTGGTGTTTTTATTGAAATATTTTAGAAGAAACTGGAAATGGTTTTTGGACATGGGACCATGATTATACCCTTGAGTTTGGGCCTTATACTATGGTCACACCTAGAGACATTGACAGCTATGGAGACTGAAAAGAAGGTAGCTATCAAGCTAACTCTAGCTAATGTATAAATGAGGAGTTTCAATTCATACTGAATGGCTTTTGTTCAAGAAAATTCAGTTGTTTTGTGCTTGGATTTGATTTGATACCAGGGTTTCTTTCTGTCATGTAAGTTTTCAAAATAAAAGTCAACATCATATCAGCAAGCTGTAGTAATATATGCTAGTAGCAACATGCTGGCTAAATGGTAGTACCATGGTATTCTTTGAAGTACCAGTACTTCCATATTGTTTATGGTAATCATGTAATACTATGGTATTTATCAAACTACCATAGTATTGCTATGTGATACACTGATATCATGATCTCACCACAGTATGTATTTTTCGTAAAGGATGTTGTCTGTCTCTCTCACCGTCTGGCTCTGGCCCCAGACTGAGGTGTCCGCTCATGTTTGGAAGTGCGGATGAGTCGAGTCATCTCCACTCCGGGAACTCGCGGGCTGCTGTTCGCTGTCCGCTTGACTCTCACGCAAGGCTGTCTGTCACATCCCCGCGCAACACCCCCCCCCGAAAAACAGAGAAAGAAGCTAAGATTTCTACCGTTTATTGTCATCCCGTAGTTCATTTACAGCACTGGAAGGTGATGTTTCTACCAAACCTTCACTTTCCCAGGCCTGGCATCGCTTCACGACGTGTTAACAACGTTGCACTTCTATTTATAGTTTTGTTAGCCAATAAATTTACACACCACAAAGCTAGCTTCCCAGACACAGATTAAGTTTAGTTCTGGACTAAACTGTGTTATTAACAGGGATTTTTCTTTTAAAGTAAAAAAAAAAAAAAAAACTTGAAGTGTTTTAACAGTTAATTGGACTTCTCCTTAAGGGTCTCTTTTCCTTAATTTGAGTCAACACAACTAGCACTTCTTTGAGTGTTAGCCGTTTACTGGACATTAGTTACAAATCAGAATGAGAAACTGCATTAAAATGGCAGCAGTTGTTTACTTCGACTAGTCGATTAGATAGGGTTTAACCTTTCACTCAGATATTAAACGTTTTGGTGTATTGTCCTTGGTATTTTCATGGCTAATTCACTACAAATCCCCAAGAAAGACTGTTGCTACGCAAGACACCTTTTCTTTCTTTCTCTCTCTCTTTCTGAATTGTCGTCAGTCTGTCAATGGTTATTAGTTCAACTACATCTCTCCGACCTCTCTTTCCTTTCCAGCTCAATTGATTTTTTCGGTTTACTGTACGAGTCTGCTGATGAAAGGAGCAGCCGGCGCTATCATAATCCAACACAGGCCTCTGAAAGCTGAGCGCCATTGTGTGTCAATGTTTGATTCTGGCCTAACTTCTTATGTACCCCTCAACTCGAGTTACTGAAAAGTTCTTGTATTTTTAACGTCATAGAAATAAGCCAGCTGGACATGACAACATTCTTACCCATTATTCTTTTTTCATTAAGCTAATGCAGCATTCACGTTGTGTTGGAATGTCCATAATTATGAATTGACAACTGCGAAATTGTTTCGA